TGCCTCCCACCCAAAGTTTCAGTGACATATTCATATTTTGGATCACGTTTTTTTCGGGATCCACTCGTCGCCTCGCCGCGCTTTGTTTTAGAAAACGATGTCGCTTGGCCCTGCCCTTCACGTCGCCTACTGCCAGCTCAACAGTTTGGAGCAAAACTTTGTCAGTCGGTTTTGGTATCTTGACTCTTGACCTACTATTTTGCCTGTTATGTTTCCTCCTCTTGTTTTTTCAAATTGTGTGCTTTGTCGGTAGACATTTTTGTTACACTTGCATGCGCGTCAATCGGCACAAATCTATCCCACAGCGACCAGCACAAAACCACACCTTCGCCGGTTTTTGGAGGCAGCGCCCCAGCGGATGACGGAGCAGGCGAAGCCTCGTACTCCGGAAAGCTGGTGCGCACCCGTCCCATTAGACCTGCCCTCAAATGGACAGAAACCTTTTGGAGCACGGACGTCCGGCTCCTCTCTGTAGAGTTCTAGCAACCAAACACCGGACCTGTTGTTTGAAGGCGGCTTGGGAGTCCTATCCACATTGGCCAAGGGAAACGGACAATCCTTCAGCATCCTTCAGCTGAACATGTCGGCCTGCGATCTTGCGATAGGCCAGGCGTTACGTTCGTACAGGCTGCGTTGGTTGATGCACATACCGGGCCGCGCCCTGACCAGAGCATTTGACCCCTGTCGCGGTCAGCGGTCCACGTTGGGCCCGCATTTTTGAAGGTAGCGCGTGAGACACCGACCATAGTCGCAAATGGCCGAAGGCAAAGGTGCGAACTAGAGGAGCGACAGTTCAAGATGCGATCTGGCGGGGCCTCCTTCTCCGCCTTCTCCGCCTTCCGGGCACGGATGGCCGTGATGCAAAAAACCAGGCGCCAGCTACGACTCGAGGCATGGAGTTCGTCTCCGTCAATGCCCCCATGCCTACTGAGGGCGACACCGAGGTGGAACCAGTTCCCATCACGGAAGAGGACGAACTTGTCGTCCCCAACAGCCCTATTGATGATGAAGGGTACATGAACGATCTCATAAAAAAAGAACCATATCGAATCAGCTGTCAAGCAAGGATTCGAGAACGTGGACCAGCTTGATGATGATCCAGATGAGGAATTCCTATTTAAGGAACCCATTCTCACGGCCATTCCGATGGAACTGCGACAAGAATCTTGTCAAGTCACAGGAGTGACGTATCAGCTGAGGAAAAATGCCGACCAGAGCGATATCATCCGGATCTTCATGGACGAAGAAGACATCCTGAGCTCACCGGCGAAGCCCTCAGACGATTTCAAGAGGTCACTCGATTCAAGAATGACACGGACTTGGGCAACAAGATTGTGGTGGAGAAGAAGCCAAAGGCAAAGGCACAGCCAAAGTCGCCAGCGCCGAAATTGCCTGATGAGCAGCCTGAACCGGCAAAAGCACGCCCGGCGGGAGCTGAGGCCGATGTGGAAATGAAGACAACAGACGCTACGCAGCCCAAAGTAGCAAAACGCCCGGCGGGAACTGTGGCCTCGGAGACAGCTGCTGCGGCAAAGCCTGGTGTCAAGGCTAAGGCAATGCCGCGTGCCCCTCCGATGCCAGTTGTGTTTTTTCCGCTCAGCTCCCAGCATTGACGGATTACACTATAAGGTGTACAGTTTCATCAAGCGCAAGTATGCTGTCAACTTGACGAACGATGAATTCCCATCGTGTCACCACATCAAACCACAGATCTATGCTGGAGACGACAATTGCGCCAAGGGGGCTTTGTTCGGTGGAAAGTACCAATATACACCGCTGAGGATCAAGGCGGTCCAGAACCACAATGAGTGGTCGTATAGCACCGTGCAGGATGCGCTTCCGGAGCACGAATGCTTTATCTTCCTTGACGAGGAGTATGACACTGAAGGGTACAAAGAGGGCCGATTTCCCCGAGTTCCTCGAGGTGCGCTTGGAAAGCTTGGTAGCGTCGCTCCAACGATTGTCTACCATTACACGCACCAATCCGCCTTCCGCGACATCATCAACGTGGGATTGGCCCCAGGCGGCAACAGGACTGGTGCATCCCCGTTTTTCCTTTACAAAATCAACCTACCTGGGTAACAAAAAGAGCTTCGATATTGCAAGAAACAATTGTTTCCAGGTACCCGTTTTTGCGGGGGTGAGGAGGTTGACTTTGTAAGGGCAGCATTCTTTCTTGGGTCTGTTGATTTTGTAAGGAATCGATATGTTGGTATGGATGTCAAAAGTGCCGCACTGGTGACGGTGGGGTCCTTGATCCTATACAAGTTTGAGGGTGGGGCGGTTGTCATGGACAGTCGATCCTGTAATCGATTGACCTGCTGTAAAGCATGAACCCTTGATTTTGTAGTGGGTTGAGCTGCCGTAGAACATGGTCTCATAAATTCTCAATAATTCGCATGATCGTTCATATGTGTTCACGGGCTTTGAGGTTCAACTAATTTGTTTACAAAATCAGAGGCACCAAAAGAACACCCAAGGGCACTTATACAAAATCATGCTTCCCAGCCTCAGTGTCCTCGTGGGAATAAAGCAAAATATAGCTAGGCTGTGTGGTACGAACTATGATATGTACAAACTTGTAAAGAAAGGCCTGCCATTTGAAGAGTTGGTGGTGACTTGCATTTGCATTTCTTTGTTTGTTTTTCTTTTGATGGCAGGTGCGGGAACCCCAACATCCATGATCAAGGTTTGTTCCCAGATGTTCCAAGCATTGTTCAATCATGTTCAATCTATCTGTTGATCTCTTGCAGTTGCTCGCATGCCAGAAGTGATCTGCGGGACATTGCGATAACATGAAAAATGAAAGATAAGAAAGGAAACGTGATGACGAAGAGTGAGAGCTGTGAGACGAATCGTATCGCATCGTATCGTATCGATGAGGTCGCGCCAAATCTTGTCCAATCCAGGTTTAATGATTGAGATTTTGTATCTAGTTTGAGGCCTCGGGGTGGTTGATTTTGTAATTGTACTGAGCCATGTCGACAGAGTGCCTATGATTTTGAAAAGACTGTATCTTGAGACTGGGACAATTGATTTTGTAATATCGGCTGGAGAGTTGTCCCTTGCCTGCGTCCTGGGGGGTTTGATTTTGTAAACCTTTTCAGGTTGGCGAGCCTGGGGTGGTTGATTCTGTAGCACATTTCCCTTACAAAATCAACCACCCCTACATACTCCAGAAATTCGATGGAGGATACTGGTGCCAAGTACACCTTCCTGACGAAAGAGGATCCATGGACCATTTCCGGAACAGACTATGCTGCCATGGCCGCTACCCGTCCAGTTTGCGTAGCTTTGGGCATGCAGCATCTCCTCAATGGCCATCGCCTCATCGAGACAACCGCTGATTGGGTCCCCAACCGCTTCGTCGTCTATGTCTACGACATGCAGGCGCGCAGCTACTCCTTTGCGAACCATGTCTACGCACACCTTCATGGTGAGCGCAGCGGTAAGTCAAAGGCCTTTTATGCTGCACGCACCGGGGGGCCGGATGCCGATGATGAAGTGACAGTAATGAGCCCATTTGAGAAGTACACAACTCGTGTTCTCGATGATTATGAGAAGTGGTGTGGCAAAGTGGGTGCCTTTTCACCCTCTGTCTATGGCGAGGTCAACCGGTTACATGAGGTCAAAGATCAGATGATCAGTGGGAGAAACAACCCCGACCTCGAAGTGTACGAGGTCACCTATCAGGTCCGCAAACCAGATTTTCATGCCTATCGCAACAAGGTGTCGCCCGAGACCATGTTGCCCAACTACAATCGACCTCGCTTCGATTGGCGTGAGGCACATCCTGAAAAGGAAGGATGTGGCAAGACCAGGTGGCTCGTGGTTGAGGGGATCCAGATGCATGAAGAGAAGTGCCCAGTCTGTACTCAGATGTGCGCCCACGGGATGATGGCCTGTCTGAACTGCGGGATTTTCCTCCATGGTTGTTGCCATGACCGTGAACCTTTCATCCAAGGACCTCACCAAAAACAGCTTCGCGTGACCAATGTTGGAAACACACTGCTCCGATCAAAGCCTGCAAAGATGCCTTTTCTCACCTTAAGAAACTCTTGTGGTTCTTGTGCCTCCATGGGCCACGAAATGTAAAAAACCAATGTGATCGAGGCAGACATGCGAAAATGAAACTGTGCATTCACAGGAGGGAACTGCGAGAACGCCAAATTTACTGGGCGCCTTCCTGCCACCAGGGCAGGCAGCAATGGCGACCCGAGTCCACTTCCAGTCCTGTACACCTGCTGCCTTGCCCACCCCGCCCACCACCACAAAACACGGGGCGGAACACACGCAAGGGGGCTAGCAGCACATGGAAGACAAAAACCTTTGATTTGATTATATATTCCAATGGACGTGGTTTCGGCCACAAAGGTGGTGAACTTGGTAGCGCAGCTTGCTGACGAGTGGACCTTGGAATGATGCCTGCCAGGTTTAGCCGAGGGGGGCCGTGTGTGGACGACAATATACATATTTCCTGAGTGTTGTAAGCTCATGTAGAGCGCCTCTGTTGTTCTAACTGCACTTCAAGACATGCAACTATGACTATAACGCACGTCTTTTTGGTTTTTGTGTAGTCAATGACATGTGATGTTTTCGAGTTTATGTTTTGAAATTTTACCTGAGACGCTTGATCGGTGATTCGTTTAGACTGGTGCGTGTGCACTGCAACCTTTCAGTTTGAGATACGTGATGCAAACGTGACGCGCAAAACGAAGTGGGTGCAGAGATTGAACTGTAGGACGGACACGAAGTAAATAACAACTTTGCAGTCACTGCTGTGCGTTGACGGGGCAGTTCACTGGTCCAGATCTGCGTTGGCTAATGTTGATATCGCCTCATTTTGGCTAGCCAATGCTTAGGTCCATACGACCCGAAACCAGCTGGAAAACCACAAGCCGTGAATAAAATGAAGTGTTCAACAACACTGATGTTTCTTCAACCGTTTCCAGCCTGCACAATCCAAAGTGGGAACCGAATCAGGTGGACATCCCTGTTGGTAGGCATATCAGATTTCTACTTGTGCTTTTCGCTAAGAGAGCGCCATGCCGCTGGATTTGTGCAAAACCCCGTGGAATGCGCAGAAAATCTGCGAGGAGGTCCGAATGCAGAAACTGAAGCAAACATTGAAAGGGACAACCAGTTCAAATATGGTTTCTGACCGCATAAAGGCTTAACTTTATGGCTGTGCCGAACAAAAATCTTCACGATTCGATGTGAATATTCAGGGTTTGGAATCAATTTGACCCGGCAACCGGCACAAGGCCACGATGAAGGAGATCAATGCAGAGTTGCGGAGGGCTATAAATCGAGGAGGGTTGCGTGCTGTCTTGGAGAAAGGGCACGAGTCACAAAGGGCTAGCTTCATGATAAGTGATAACGATTAACGATCAAAAACCTTTGAGATCCGACACGCGGCGTTCCACAGGAGATCCTGTGCCACGGGAGTGCAAACTGCAAACACCGGGAGAACAGGTGGAACTCATGGGGATGCGAAACCACGAGTGTTTGCAGCGTAGCAAAATTGAGCCAGCTGACTTGGTTCAAATGGACTCAGTCCTTTTTTTAAAGGTGTGATTCTGGCAAGTTTCTGGCAAACACTCCAGAAGTGTTTGTTTGACACATTGAGGCCACAAGCGCGAAACATGAATTTTGCACTTTTGCTTGTTGTGTTTTTATCCTTTTTGTTTGGCACGCTTTATGTCCCTGACATTGAATGCACGACGAGGGCGTTTGCAAACCTTTAGGATTTTTAGGTCTACCTAAACCAAGAACGTAGGCGAACATTTGTGCAGTGTTGCCGATTGTTTCACTTAGGAATGGTCGACCCGGTGAAGTGTTGAGCCGTGTTGCAGATGAGCACGGTTTCCTCATGGTGCCTCGTTGAATGCAAAGAATCACCAGCAAATTCATGAAATTTGTGCACAAACTGGGATTCCAAAGAATATCTGTTTCTTGAATTTGCGAATGTGTTTTGTTGCGATGTTTGAGACATAATTTTTTTTCTGCGACGTTTATTCCTGAGGTTCGGGTTCAGATGCCAGAGGGCCCCAAGAACATGCAACTCGCAAAGAGAACATGCAAATTGATAATCATGTTCATTTTTTTTCAAATCGCCTCTGGAACAAGTGACTGCGTTAAGCAACAGCATGCTGTATTTACAAATGTGTTTTTCAGTGCAGCCTGGTAACATTCGCAGCTGTTGTGCATGAACTATAGGAAAGTTCAGCCAAGATGCTTGAAACCTATCAGGCTTGGGCAATCAAATTGAAGAACCACTTGAACAGATGACATGCAATTTGTTTTTTTTGCTACGAGGGTCGAACACGGTTTAATGGAGTCAAGAACTCCAGGCACCCAAAGGATGGAAGGACACGAGGTGCTCGACTCACAGGCCGAGAGAGGATGAGTGATGAGTGTGCAAAGCTTCTTGAAACAGAATTTTCGGTGAACAGGAGAATGAACAGATCAAATCTTCAGATACACCCAACAGTGTAAAGTAATCATTCAAAAAGATCTCATTTGTGCAGGCTTCATTGTGGATCCGGAAGTGCAGTCTGCACATTGTCGGCATTGAATCTTTTCGGACAAATGTGCGCAGAGTGAGGGCCCACTTTCAGATGAACCAGGTCCCATTCAAGGCTGCTTTTAGGGTTTGGGTCCAATTGAGCTGGTCGGTGCTTTGAGGAGCTTTGTTGTTTTGAGATCCTGTTTGAACACACGGAAAAGAAGACATCAAACGCGACCCTTTACGCCGTTTACGCCAAGCGACCGGCGTGACACCAGGTTCTTTCTTCAAGGCCTGCAACGGCGAGTGCGGTGCAAAGCGTTCTGCGCAGCTGGACTGTGAATGTAGATCTTTCCGATTTGGGAAAGGGAGCATTCGGGCGACAGGAATAAGGACATGAAGTGTGGGGGGGCTAATTGAAGGCACCGGCAGGCAATGCACTGCCAGCATTGTTTGCGGTGATGCGTGCAGTGGCTGCATCAGGAGGAGGAGGAGGTGGAGGAGGAGGAGGAGGAGGTTTGAAGGTGCTAGCAACTAGATGGTCACGACGCCCCGAGGTGCCTGGCATTCTTTTGCATTGTGTAAAATTGATTCTTAACATTCCGCACATCAGCGTGTCAAAAATGCAAATCAGCGTGTCAAAACTATTCCTTTTCACCGCTCAGGTGCGAGCTTTCCAAGTGCACTAACAAACTACGCTGTCGGCATTCTTTCCTGTGAGAGTCCTTCTATAAGGTACACCCTTAATTGCAATACTGGATAGCATGCTAAGGGGGAAGATCGTCCCCCTGACCAAACGGACGAAGACACAGGATTCTCTTCTCTTCTCTTCTCTTTGCAGGTTCAGCCGCATGTTCAGTGACAACTAGCGAGTCATATCTTTTGTGACACTTGCGAGCCTGACGCGTGTGATTTTTCGGCATGCTCTATGATCTCTATGTCTTGATGCTGCCAAGGTACTCAAACCCCATTGGTTGCAGACTCGGTTTTGTCAAAGGCTTCGCCCTTGGCGCCCCTCAGCTACTTGGACATTAAGCATTGGTTCAATCCAACTTGTTTCATGAAAGCTTATTGGAGGAGTTGCCGCTCTAGTGCTGCTCCGGCGAGTGTTGTCACGTCAAGCCAGAAGCCAGTCCACAAAGCGCACGTTCAAGGTGAAACGAATGCAGAATGAGGAGCTCTGAGGCACTTGGCCTTAGGTCTTTGCATCAATGTTGTCTGATTTTTTTTTGGGCGTGTTGTATGTGAATAATATATATATATATATATGTTTTTCCGCCAAACAGTGTGGGCACACTGAGGGTTTTTACGGTAGTAAAGCAGCTGGTTTCTTAGATCGCTGAAGCGCCGGCGTGAACGGCTAATTCATTGCTATTTACAGTGCATTCATGCCTCTCGAAAGCCTCGAAGTGCATTTCGACTGCGCAGGCTCGCAGAATCTGGGAGGCCCGCGGCGGGTGCTTCTGGCGACTGCGCTCTCGTTGTGGTGCCGTGCGCATTTTCGCACATGGGGTCACTTTTCGTGGCAGGCGCAAGGGAAACCTCGTGTTTTGGTGCTCCAAAGTCGACTTCTCGTGACAGGTGCAAGGGATCGGAGGTGTTTTACTTCGAAATGCAGTTTTCGTGGCAGGTGCAGCACTTTGGACATGGCGGTGATCGTCGAGGAGTTCAGATTTCGTGACAGGTGCAGTAAATGGTGACTTTTAGACACGTTTGCAGATTTCGTGGCAGGTGCAGCACGTTCGACGCGCAGATTTCGTGGCAGGCGCAGCACTTTGTGAACCTCGAAGAGCAGATTTCGTGGCAGGTGCAGCGTTTGGTGATCCTCGATGTGCAGATTTCGTGGCAGGTGCAGCGCTTGGTGAACCTCGAAGTGCAGATTTCGTGACAGGTACAGCACTTTGTGACCTCGAAGTGCAGATTTCGTGGCAGGTGCAGCACTTGGTGAACCTCGACGCGCAGAGTTCGTGACAGGCACAGCACTTTGTGAACCTGGATGCGCAGAGTTCGTGGCAGGTACAGCGCTTTGTGAACCTCGACATGTAGAGTTCGCCACCCAGGTGCGCTCTGGTCACTGTGGGCAACTCACTCACTCACTCACTCACTCACTCATTCATTCATTCGTTCGTTCGTTCGTTCGTTCATTCACTACCTGACTGTGTTCTCAGATGTGTGCTCTCCTTGGTCTTCTGCTTTTTCATTCGCACTCTCATTCACAAGCATTCTTCCTTTGACTCAAGCTTGCATTCATTGTCACACTCTCACTCATCCACACTCGCTCACTGATTCGCTCACGTCCTGCGTGTTCCGGTGTTTGTATTCTCAGATGTGTGATCGTCTCGCTTGCAGATCTGCCCTCTGTCTCTTCTTACGCTGACTACATCCACTCTCACTCGGACTCTCTCGCTCTCACTCGCACTCACAACGCCCACGCTCATTCTCACTCAGGCTCATATTCACTCGCTCACTCCCTCACGTGCTGCGTGGTTTGGTGACTGTGCTCTCAGACGTGTGATTTTTTACACTTCTGTAGACCTCTGAAACTCTATCTTGTTCTCACGTGTGTGCTTCTAGAGCGATCTGGCGCGGTTACACCCAGCTATTCTTCTATCCGACGCACCTGGCGTGGTTCCACCCAGGTACTTTTGGCATAGCTTGGTTTCTTGGCAAAGAAAACGCGCACTTACACTTATTCACTCTCCACTCCTCACACACTCCCTCTCACTCTCACCCTCACATTCATTTGATTGCAATACAGCTGGATAGCGGTGACAAAAGTGTCTCTCATATACACTCCACACTGTTTGGGGTCTTTTGCCGGGATAATTAACTTAAGGGGGTAGGCCGTAGAGGTAATAGCTAGGTAGCTAGTAGGGAGAGGTAGCTAGTATGCAGCTACTTAGGACAGGATAGCTCACGCTTCTTCAAGGAAGCGCTCGCACTAATGATTAGTAAAGGTTTCTATACTTTGAGTCAAACTTAACATTAGAGGTCTTGCACCAATGTTGTTTGAAAGGAGTCTTCCCCCCCGCTCTTAAAGTCTTATTTGCAGCAGCAGGTATTGAATGGTGGTTTAGCCCGAGGCTTGTCGGATGTCTGATTCACAAGCATTTTCCTGGAAATCCCAGACCTGATGCTTCACAAGGATTCTAACACACAAGGCAACCTTTTTCCAAATAGCAACGGGGAATACAGTCTACGCGGGGAATAGCCCAGCACTCACACACGCACACACTTAGGATAGGGTGTACTGAACTGAAAGCGGTGCCACACGCCGGCCTAGGGTTCCAATTCCTAAGGGAACAAGTACGAACCACGGGAACCTGGAGGACTTTAAGAGGAAAGAAGGCCCAAAGCGGAAGAAACCCATCGACGATCGCGGATCGAGCAGGCTGACGACGTTCGTTCATGTCTGCCGAGTGCATTAGCCCTTTACCAAAGGTTTAAAAATTGTGCAGGTACAAGTGGTTGATCAGACCACTCATCCGCCGAAATGCCATAGCTTCGTTGGACTTTCTCGTCTCTCCCTACCCCTCCCTCTTGTCGGCACCTTAGCTTGGGATGCTACTAGGGGCTCCTGGCCTTCCTATTAGGTGTTAGGTGTTTCTTTGACGCTACTAGAGGCTCCTGGCCTTACCACTACTTGGGGACGAAGAGTCTCACACCACCTATGGCGCGGAGCTTAAAAATCTTGCCTCCCCTCGGGGAGGCGTGTGTGTGTAACCCTTGGAATCATAGGGATCCAGGAAGGTGTTCCCAGCTACGACGCAAGCGTCCAAGGACACACCAAAGGAAGAGAGGAGAAGGTTCCCAGCTATGACAAAAGCATCCAGGGACACCCAAGGAGGGAGGAAGGAGAGAGAGAAGGAAAGAAAGAAAGAGAGAGGGAGAGAAAGGGAGAGGAGAGAAAAAGAAAAAGGCAGGTGTTCCCAGCTACGAACAAGCGTCCAGGGACACACCAAAGAAAGAGAGGGGTGATCCTGAGTGTTGCATTCAGGAAAACTCCAGGAAGCAAAGAAAGAAAGGGGGAAGGGAAGGGGGAGAAGGGGGCTAAGGTCGCGACAGGTTCCAATGAACCTTGAACAAACTTCCGTCGCTGCGACCACGTACGGCTTGCCCAGGGGCTGCCATCTTTGACCGCTACGGTCACGTAAAGGCATGAGCCAGCTTAGAATTCCAAAGATGGGACAAAATCATCGTACGTACGGCCTAGGCCACCTACGCTCGCTGCGAGCTGCTCTGTATCCGGGCAGTGGATACGTTCGACGTACACCCGTTCGACGGGTCCACGGGAGGCACTCTGCGGGCTCATCCCGGGTTGGCACGAGGCCAAACACACTTAGGATAGGGTGTACTGAACTGAAAGCGGTGCCACACGCCGGCCTAGGGTTCCAATTCCTAAGGGAACAAGTACGAACCACGGGAACCTGGAGGACTTTAAGAGGAAAGAAGGCCCAAAGCGGAAGAAACCCATCGACGATCGCGGATCGAGCAGGCTGACGACGTTCGTTCATGTCTGCCGAGTGCATTAGCCCTTTACCAAAGGTTTAAAAATTGTGCAGGTACAAGTGGTTGATCAGACCACTCATCCGCCGAAATGCCATAGCTTCGTTGGACTGGATAGGCAAATCGGCTCCAGTCCCCCTGCTACACAAGGAAAACAACTGTGAAGCGAAAACAATCCGAAAGGATCCCTATGATTCCAAGGGTTACACACACACACACACCCCAAGCAGACATCCAAGACTAGACCACAGTAGGGGAGAAAGGAAAGCAGGGAGAAATATTCACACTTATATATATACTCGAAAAAACATTTTTGCAAGTTACTTTGAGATCTTTGAGAGGCCACGGGGCTGCCGCATTTTAACATGATGTTGACGCGCTTTGGTATTTGCTAGTTTCACAGCATGCGCAGACTTGGCCAAGTGACTAAGTGGTTTGCGTTTGTGCTGTCTCACTCATAAAATCTATCTTGCCCTGGCCTGCATGCTGCAATGCAAGGAGCAAACAGTATGTTGGCAGAAAGATTGTTTCAATCTCCCTGACCCTGGCTGTCGAATTGCGCAGTTTTGCAGCACAGCCAGACCCAAGAGCACACCGCTGCTCGCAACAACATCTCCCAAACAAGTTTGCGTGTGATTTGGCATGTCCGGGCCAAAGGATCTTGTGCTCACCCCGCCTGCTAGCTGCTAGATGTTCAGCCATTGCACACGCAGAAGCCCCATCGCAGGTGCGCGTCGAAGCTGTTCAATGGAACGCGTCCTCGCCAAAGGTGAGGTGACGTGCACTCTTGAAGTCCCAACTGAAAACTGATCATGTGCGCTGGAGAGGGCTGCTTGTGTCATGTGCTTGTGACGTTTTTTCTCCCGATGCCACTCTTAAAGCTCGCTGCCCGCAGGTCTTGACCCGAAAGCCGAAAACATTCTGAACAGGTGATAGAAACTGAACAAACTTTGCAGCCAGTATTTCGTAGTGTGCTAGGCTTGCATATGGTCCATTGGGTCTTTAGCTATATAAAGTGCGCCACAGTCCCCAGTCAAATCGGTCAGTGCGTCTTGCCAAGTTGCATTGGCTGCAGTGGCATGTTCGCCATACAAGAGCTAATTTGGAGCCGTGTTAGCGCGTTGACGCTAGAGCTTCGCTAGAGAGATCAGGAATCTCCAACGCCAGGGAGTTGTATGTAGATGAGCTGATCAAGAGCTGCTGGATTTGAAGCCGAAGCATCTCAACGGATTGATCACTCATGCAAGTAGGCAAGGATCCGGCTGCCCGAGGTGCCGCTGGCACGGACGAGTGGCCCACAGGCAAGGAGAGGAGCCAAAACGGAAGGCCAGAAAGACAGTGAAGCAAGCCCCCAGGGACAAACCAAGGCCAAGACCAGGAAGGTGAGGGCGGTGGCAAGAATGGAGCGGACCTCAGTACGTTGATGAGGGACAAAGGCAGTGGGCATAGATTCTTGAGCCCAGAAAAAACCGGTCAGTCTCACTTCTACGAGTTCATGGCAATCTCAAGGGCGGCAGGCTCTCTTTCAAGCAGAGGGCAGAGCGTGCGGGGTTGGAGGCCATTGGGCGCACGGTTCACTCTGGAGGGACAAACCCCGACCTTCATCACCGTGCGATCTTGCCAACACCACCTACGTGGTTGCCAGAGCAGAAGGCATCAGTGAGCCGGTCAGGGTGGAGAAGGCATCCGACTACACAGGGCATTGTTGGCTGACTTCACCGGATCTTCCAGCATCTCCCACGGATTTGCTTCCAAGGCAGATACTGCTTGGCCCTCAACATCCCTTACCCTAAGAATGAGAAGGTGTTCCAATGGAACTAGACGGCGTTGTCCCTCTATGGTTCACAAAATGTGGAGCTCTTCCGGAGCTTCTGGCCTCCAGGCCCGCTCCTAGTGCAGGCGCGGCCTGGACTCTGTTTGATCATCACGCTGCGAGAAGGCATTGAGTTGCCTGATGGCAGCAGAGTGACAGAGCTGACCACGTCTGTTCGTAGCCAGCTTGCAGCAAATGGATGGCTGAGAAACCAGGGCGTGTCCTTCGATGAGGTCTTCCTTGCTAGCCCTCCAGATCTGGACAGGACCAATCAGATCCTTGCTCAGTATAGAAGGCACCCTTTTGCAATACCGCCTCTCAGAAACCATCAACATGGTCAGCTCGAGGCTCAGCAGGTCACTTCAGCCAGCTTCTATGAGCCGGTCGAGCACCACAGGGCCATGCCAGCCCAGCTGATGTTGGCAGTCCTAGCGACATGCCTGGTATGGGGCTGGACTGGCGAAGCCGCGATTTTCGCGATGTGCTGGGGGATGCTCCTCCGAGCTGGGGAGCTGATGAGCGCCAAGAGGCGAGACATCATCTTTCCTCAAGATGTCCGCTTCTCTATCGAACATGTCTCGATTCGCATCATGGAGCCCAAGACGAGGTTCAGGGCTGCTCGTCACCAATGGAGCAAACTAGAGCCTCCGGACCTCATACAAGTTGCACGGTTGGGAATTGGCAAACTGATGCCATAGGAACCAGTTTGACCAAGTTCACCATCGACTCTGAGGCACAGGCTGCTTACCAGACGCAGGTGGAGGTGGGTCTCCTTGAAGGTACGCATGACAGATATCTCGAAAGAAGGTCGAGAGACGATCCTGACAGCCAGAAGCTTTCCCGCAAGTTCTGCAGGTGAGCCAGGGCTTCTACGAGATGCTTCCCGGAAAAGGCATGGCATACCCTGTTGAGGCAGCGTGCGCAAGGAGTCGATCCGACAGCATCAAAGGGGCGGACGGGATACAGCGCAGCCAAAATGGCTAGCCGCTAGCCCACCTTCACACAGCAGGAGACACCACGCTGGCTGAAAACAAGGGGCCCGAGCACTTCTGAACTTGTAGAAGTGAGACCGACCGGTTTTCTGGGCTGAACCCACCACCACCCCTGGTCACCGCAGCGCAGCTGCTTGACCGAGCATGTTTTTTTCAGGCGGGGTTCAGTGCAACCAACATTGCTAGCCCACATTCACACAGCAGCAGACATGTATACACACACACGCATATATATATATATATTACATCTGCACACACACACACTATATATATATACATATATGCGCCGCCCCTCCCACAAGAGGCAGTAGTTGAACAGGACAATGAGGTTTGTGGTTCACCTTGCTGGCATGTTTGGCTCCTGGCCATGCACGCAGGTGAAGCTTTTGTGAAGACATCGTTGAATCTGGCTTGTCAAGCGCAGGCTTGGCTCAAGTGCTTAGATTGAGGGTGGGAGGGCCGTGTTCGGCCAAAACATGGCCGTGTAATGCGTAGAATGTGCTTTGGTCTAGATTTGGTTCGCAAAGCATGTTTGAGCAGTGCGTTACCAGAGAAAACATATACACACATATACTGCATAACACTGACTGACTCCACTCAACCGTCACTAGCTCCATGTTTTTGCGTGGTTCTTTTGTCCTGGGTCCCAGCCCCTTGGCTGGAAGCCCACTCATGTAGTTGGGGTGACCGCATGGTGTGGCTTCCATGCTGGAACCGAGTGCAATCCACAGCTATGAGCCGCCTGCTTATCGGAACAACCCGCCCTCACCGTCGGAGGGGTTGCCACCCAGTTTGCCCTTCCACTGTGCAGTGCTGGAGTCGGCGGATTCCTCGGGTGGCCCTTCGCCCGCCTTGTTGCACAGCTTGCGAGAAAAGGGCTGCAAGCTCATCCTGGCGCAGGTGGAAGATTTGGAGGACTTAGAGGAGGGTGGCACCGCGCGGGAGACGGAGGAACATACCGATTCCAGTCCCTTGAGACGACACTCCCTTGCGCCGCGAGCCTATCGGCCAACCTCTCTAAATCGAGAGTGGTATGATGCGGTTTTTGACAAAGTGTTGTCGATCACGGGAGAGGAGGGCAGGGGCAATAGCCCCCTGGAACGCTTTTTTGCTGATGAGGGCCTCCCTGCATCGCAAGCCGTTTGCTTTGCCTGTACGGATGCGGGATCGAAGGCGCCGATTTTTTCCATTGAATTTTTTTGGGGTTTCCATTCAGTCTGATTCAGTATGTAGTATGCTAGCATGGTGGGAAGGTATCAGAAGTGCTTAGATCGGTAAGTTTGCAGGCTTCGGCGCCACAGTGCTGATGTGTCGGTGCTGATCAGGCCTTCGGTGCTGTGGACGCTGGCCTGGTGCTGGCACCATCCCACAACAAAGTCTGGCGCCGGGAGGAGGAGGAGAGGACTTTCAGGGGACCTTTAGTGCCGGGCATGCTGAGGTAAGAGGAATCTTCAATGCTGTAGGGGCCATCCAGTGCCCATCCTCTTTGAGAAGCAGTGCCAAACTGGGATCACCCATTGCTAATACTATTTAATACTTGTTCGTCCCTCTGTGACGTAAAAGGCTCAGCATGACTCAGTGATTGGTCGTATACTTTCGTTTCCAAAACTCCTCAGGCGGTGCACTTGCCGGGCGCGGACTGCGCCTTGTCACAGAGCCCGACGGCCCGTCACCTTGCGTGGCTGCACGAAGTCTTCACGCAGAAGCTTTGGTGTTGTTGCATGCGCCATGGCTGAATCGTCGATGCACTGACATGCATGCTGCATTACATACCTGATTATACAAGTGATTCAGCCTTGTTGTGATATTCCCAATGTGCATGGGACTCCACTTAAAAAAACCCACTACCAAGTGCAGTTAAGCCTACATTGAGGGTATTTTTGATCAATCTCCATGCAAAGTCAGGTGGCTAGCGCCCGCTCCAGAGGAGCTGCGCCACCATGCTGGCTTGCCCAGTGATGGTCCATCTGCCTATGTGCCTCGACCAGCCATTAGGTGCCATTCTTCACCTTAACTCCTAGAAATGCACATTTCTTTTTCATTTGGTGATGGCAACTGAGGGGCCTTTGGACCTTGTGTTTTCATGCATCTTAGATCAGATGCTCACTGCTTCTCACTCAAAATTATAAGCAGCGTAAAGGTATGTTTGTAGGCATTATTCTTTGACCCAGATTCTTTGGTGGCACTTTAACCGCCTATTTCCGGACCCAGCCTGACTTGTTTGGCGTTGCTCCTGCACTTTGAGCGAACTTCCACCCCCAAGCCAAGTCAAAGTTCCCGGTACTTTGCAACTCTGAGTGCAAGTCTCTGGTCACTCCGTTCCTGGCATGAAAAAAGAATGTCTTGCCCACCATAGCCGCAAATAGGCCTGTGCCACTGAGGAACGTGCGACCATCACGAGTGTGGCCAGTGGCACCCTGCAGGCTTTGGGCCACCCACCATGGGCATCGGCATCTCGCTGGGAGCCTTGGAAGGAGAACGAGGACAGCCGAGAGCGGCGGACAGTGCCTGCTGAAGCTGTTTTTGCAGGTCCAATCTTGAGAAGCAAGAAAGTAAGGATCGAAATTCATTGTAAGCAACCCATCGTTTGTCAAGTGATCAATTCTGTTGCTAAGCCAGCCTTTTGGTCGGAATCGGTATCTTGGATTGTGACCAGGAGATCTACCCCTGCATGGCGCAGTTGGGAGACGAGCTTTGCGCTTGCCCTGACTGGACGCCACTGGAGCCAAGATTTCGGTCTAGAGGCTCCTTGCGTGAGCTGGTGGCGCTGCCCAAGGCACGAGCGGCGTTGGCACTGTTGAGGGTTTGCGTGGTGTTTCTAGGATTTCTGGGGCGAGCTCTGTTTTCCGGTGCTTGTGGGTGGCTTGGGTCAAGGTGGGTCACAAGTTGGCAGATTGTGAAACTACATAGGAACATCAAGAGAGTGAGAGAGAGAGTGTGTGTGAGCCTGGGGATGTTGGGCCGCCTGAATGAGGTGGTGCTCTATTGCCACTCCTTGGATGTGGGCCTTGCAAAGGTGCACCACCTGATGGAAGCTCAGGATATGAATAACTTGTCCGTGAGAGTGAGCAGTGCCTCGACTGAACTGGTTGGCTCCCATTCTGGCAGAAGGTCGATAAGGGCGGGCCTAAGGCAACAAGCAGCTAGGGAAATGACTTTGCTGCAAGAGGACGTTCAACAGTTCAACAGGACGGTGTAGCAAGACTCATCCACGGGAATTCTTTTGGCGACCAGGAATATTACACCATATTGCACCGTTCAGGCCCGAGAAAGCCAGGTTTGCGCACATGCGTAGAGGCATGCTGCTTGGGGGCAGGGCACTTCAAGTAATGGGGGACGAGGTACGTTCAGGAATCCAAACATATCGCTTGCGCGTGGGACACGCCAGCATTTCAACTGAGGCAACCGCCTTTGCAGCCTTTGCCGCGAGGGTATTGCCGCAACTGAAATGAGCGTGACTCTCGTTTCTTGCAGCCACCAGAATTGGCCGGACATTTGCATCCGCTCAAGCCTTCTGTGTGAGCACCTTCCAAAGAACTTCAAGTTCTATGGCAAGCCCATGGTGGACATCTCCAAGGGAAAAGCCATGCTTCAAGCCGCATATCAAGATGAAAACGGCCAGATCCTTCTGGTTCGCGCTTGGCATCGCCTCTGCAAAGATGATGGCAGAGGCGATGTTGAGCTCAATGTGAACGTCGGAAATGACTCGAGCCCGGGCCACGGAGATTGCCGTGTGTTGTGTGTTGTGAGATTTGATAAGCCGATCTCGTTTCCTTCCTAGCTTGCTGAGGTACTTCATCAGTGCATGTGCAAAAGGCGAGCCCCTCAGCCTCAGACCGGTTGAAATCATTTCCGAAATTGCTTCAGACAGAGGTGCTGAGGCAAATGGAATACTGTAATTAGCTTGATGAGGCATAAAAACGGCCTTCGCGATACAAAGAACTTGCAAACCGGTCATTTTCACTCGAAGCTATGCTCTTTTGGCATTTGTTCCGAGGCCAGTGCTTATTGGGGCATGCCCCGCAAAGATGCGGCCGAGGCGGCGTGAGTTCGGTGGAGCAAGAAGAAGCGAACATGGACCTGCAATGCTCTGCTTCGGTTCGTTCACTTGCGGAACACGCGACCTTCACGCGCGGCGTGAGCTGACTGCTGGGTGCGTCGCTCCAGACGGGATGCGTTTGGTCGTTCCAAGCGTCAGGTTGATATCATTTTCTCCAATCCTCGCAGGGGAACGCGCTACACTGTGGAGAAGGCGGTCAGTCTGTCAGTCTAGTCAATTGGCCTATGCCAACCTTTACTGAAAAAGAAAGCGGCAGGAAACCTCTATCAAGTCTATCAAGGCATGAAAGACTTCAAACCAGTTGAACTGGTGGACAAATGCAGATGCAAAACCCCCAACCCTCAGTCACGCTGCGAAAGCCTTGCCCCCCGCATGGCCACCTTGACATGGAGGTGGTGTCTGTGATTGCCAACAGTGGTCGGTGCGGAAGCTTGGAGACAGAGCAGTAGAGTATTGAAGGTTCAGCTTGAGCATTGCAATGTTTAGATTGGAAGTTGTCGAGGGCTGACAGAAGCATTCTCAAGGATTTTTTGCACATATAAGTTGGATTCCTGCCGTGCCTAGTCAGTCATGCCCTGCGAAGCATTGGCTCAAACGGGGTGCTGAATGTAGCCCTTGAGCCAGGCTAGCTGCGTTGCTCTCAGTTGCTACTTGTTTGCTCACATTATCAAACACCGAAGCCGGCGGAACTTAGCAAGTACTGTATATATAGTTCTTTGGTCTTTCTTGAGCCATCAAGGTGCCTTCCTTCCGTTTTACATATATGCATATATATATATATATTGTTACTATATGCACATATACATACATATGTATAACATATACTTATAACATATTCACAAAACATCTCCCAGTCTCCAACGAGAGAACGTTTGTTGCCCCAAGGAGCAAGGTTTTTGCGCAGCGCGGCGCTGTGGTTTCGCCAAATCCATCGAGGCCGGAAGCGGAAAGGGCTCGCCTTCAGTGACTTAGAGCTGCGGGACGTCTTAAAAGCGTCTGGCAGGTCTGGGAAAGACAGAAGGGTTCAGAAGGGTTTCTTGGGAAGCAGGGCAAGTGACGTAGTAGAGCTTCGCAGTTCGACACCAAGAATGACATCGCTGTGGAGGCTTTCTTCCAACGGAAGATTTACATGCTTGGGAAGAGGACCAAACGGACCAGTCACTGTGATGCCGAAAGAACATCAAGTGCTGTAGTGCATGTCGTCCAAGAAGCTGTTCCCAATCTCAGGACGCAACCAGTGCTTTTGGCTGCGGTCCTTGTCATCACAGATGCCTGGAGAGATTCATACATGCAAATGCACGAGCTGGCTGGTGAGCAAGGCGCCTACTGTCCATCAGTCCTGCAAGCAAAGGTGGATGTGTCCGTTTGCCTTGCTGTGTTCTGCTCCATGCTAGCTATGCTAGCTGCTAGCTTGGGGAACAGCCCCAACCCGCACCTTCGAGTTGAGCTCGACGTTGCACAGGTGATCTGAGTTTGGAGGAGAAGCGCCGAGTACGAAGATTCAATGCTACTTGGTGTGACAGGGTCACAGTACCCTCAAAGGTTTGAGCGACACCGGACACATGCTCTGGTATTCGTTTGTCCCTAGCATGTCGAAGGTCTCTAGATGTTTAGATGCTTCCTCATTGATGACCCTTTTTGGTATCAAAAGTGTTGTTTTTTTCCAAGAATGTCGCACATTGTCACTCATGGTTTCCTCCTACGCTACGTGTCAGTAAGCCTGCAACTAAGGTTCCACAACAACCCTCACACTCACTCAGAAAGGAACATTAGCATTAGCCATTTGCGTTTGCAAACCACAATGTATTTTTGAAGCGGGAGATGGCATGAGTGTATATGCGGGTGTTCCGGCTAATGCAGACAGGAGAATGTGTGCCTTGAGGGTGTAGGAATGACAGGAGGCTTTGAGGTGCTTCGCGTGGATTTCCCTCCGAATTCTCGAAATATCCCAGGCTCACGAGGACACTCGCAGATTGCAGCCTTTTTCGCAGATTCAGGACGTCCCCAACGTTTCCCATTGATGTGTGCTTAGCTTCTGAATTTCCCAGGAGAGGCCGCAAAGCCAGGAGATTGCTCAAAAGTTCGGCAGGTCTGTGAAAGCAGCGCCTTGGCCCGCTTTCATGGGGCCCAATGGGCTGGTTTTCGCTTTGGCTTTGTCGGAACGAAGCGCAGAGTCATTTTGACGTCACTGGAGTCAATTGATCCAACATTGTCTGAGGATTTGGAGGCGCACCTCAGCAAATTGACCCAGGAGGAGAAACAACTGCAGCAAATCTAGTTAGGTCCTAGCCATGGTGCTGAATGGGTCTCCTTTCATTAGTCAGCTGGACTGTGTCCAAATGAGAAGGACTGGCTGAAGCGTTTGAATGCCATCCGGCAACCCCTGCTCGAAGCTTAGCCAGAATCTGGACAATCTGCTGGAAGTCTGTATTGTTTGAGGTCAGAGGCGGACGTCACCAATCTCACAGAGTTTCGGATACTGGCGCAGTTGCTGGAAGAGATTGGGCGCTGTGAGGACACTGATCCCTTCTGAACGCCGGAAGGGTACTCAAGCTGATTGAAGACCTTGATTTCGGCATACTGGTTCTGAATCAAGCTTCTATCTATCTTTCTATCTCTCCATCTATCTGCGGAGTCGCAAGAGGTAGCGCGCGCGTGCGAGCGCGCGACGAAAACGAAAGCGCCGCAAGGCGCACCCTTTTTGCGCTGCAAGCAAAGGTTGCTTGGGCCAAGCTGCACAGGTCAAATGTTCATCCTACCGTATGCCACCATAGCACGTCAAACACATCCCAGGAAAGATGTGTTGACCTGTGCCGATGCAGCGGCGCGGCCGGCTGCAAAGCGCGTCTTGCGCCGTTCTCGTTGGCCCTTTCGGAGACTACGCCTGTGGGCTTCCACACGAGCCTCCTCATCCGTCTCCTTCAAGGAGAGCATCCCCTTGGCGGAGAACTCATGCCATAGCGGATTCACCATCCGCTTCGTCAGCCCATCGGCGTGTTGCCGGTAAGTCGGCACCCACTTCAAGTGGAAGGTGTTCGCTTCCAGCATTTCTCGTGTGACGATCAGATCCAGCATCGTTTGCCGCTCTGACGGCACCTGGCCGGTGGTCCCGAGGTGGTCATAGAGAGACCGGGCATCCGTCACCATGTAGCCTTGGACCGTCAGGTCCTTGCGCCAGTCCTCGCTCTGAAGCTGCCCTTCTGCAGCATCTGCATCAACAGCCGAGCATAGAGGTGCCGGTCGATGGCTTGTGACATTGATGCCGCCTCGGCCGCCATCGATGAGCGGACCACACGGGTCGACTTAGAGCTCGCAAAGTCGATCACCGCTGCCGGCTGAGGTCCATGCTCCACACCAGTGTTGGTGATGAAGTGGATCTGTCCCAGCTGGGACTTGCCGTCCTTCTCCTTTCCCAGTGACGCGTCAAAGAACGTCACCAGGCACAGCTCCCCAGGGATCTTGGGATACCTCAAGCCGGCTCGCCCGGCATCCTTCTCCTGGACCATGAGCTTATGCGCCTTCAAGGCGTCTTGGAAGTCTCCGTGGGTCGCGCCGGAGACTCGCTGTGCCAAACGGCTGATCTCGTAGAGCAGGTGGGGCATCACCTGCTGGGCCGGCCACCTGAGCCTCATGATCAGCTGCCGGTACTTCGTCAAGCCACCTGCATCCAAAACCTTCTCAGGGGCTTCTTTCTCCATCTCCGGCAGGCGGATCTCCTCCACATACTTCTTCATGGAGTCGCCACTCCTCTCCAGATCCACCCCCAGGAACGTCAATGGCAGGCTCTGCCATAAAAGGGGGTTGATCTGTGCCTTGAGGGCTGTGAACCTCGGATCCGTGGCTGATCCCATCAACAGCCCATCGTCCACGTGCAAGCACAGGATGGCCCATGTACCATTTCCATCCCATGCAGCGAACGTGGCCTTGGCGATGTCCAGCTCCTTCAGGGGAGTCTCGGCCAGCAGCTTGCAGGCCTTGAGATACCACAAGCGGGGCACTTCCGTCAGGCCATATGCCGACTTCAGAACTCGGAAGAGCTGTCCGCCTGTCACCGCCTCCATTTGCTTGGTCCTCGGGAGACCTTCTGGTGGTGCCCTGACATAGATCTCTCGATCGGTGCGCTCACCGCTCAAAAATGCAGTTGTGACATCGAAAGACCAGAGCACCCATCCTCTCGCCTGAGCAATCGCCTTGGCGATCTTGGTGGCCGTAGCTCCCACTGTAGGAGCATCGGTTCGAAAACCGCCCAAGTCTGGGTCTCGGTGGCCCGGCACTACAAACCGGGACTTGGCCACCAGAGGCAGAGTCGCTGCTGCTGCCTTGTTCGTGCGAACCATGCGAAGTGGGGCCTTGAAGATCTGGTGCCTTGGCACCTTCTTGAGCTCTGCCGGAAACACCTTCTGTACGACCTCATTGTTCAACCACTGTTCCCACTCTTTTGCATCGCTGAGGTCGAAGGCCTTCTTCTCTTGCTCATTGAACCATCGTGGGTCGAGCTCCTTCCCATTTTGTTTCAGCTTGAGGAGCATCACTTCATTCACCAGCACGTCCTTCAGCTCCTCCAGCCACAACTGCTCAAACTCTCGCCTGTCCTTCGGCCCGAGGCAGGCCTTGTAAACACCAGTAGGCAGTTGTACATATGTGGCCTGTGGCTTCCGTCCCCTCTTCTTACACAGCATGGTCATTCCCTTCCAGTAGAATGCCACCTTCCTCGTTGGTGCTGCAGCCACCTCGCCCTCATCTTCGTCCACCACGAAGGCGCCCATGGGGTCCTCTCCAATGAGGATCGAGAGTCTTGACCGACTCACAGCCTTCGGTGGCCGCATCAGCCTCTTCCGAGGCTTCCTGTGTATGCGCGCCGCGCTCAAAGGCAGGCCAGTGAGTTTCTTCAGAGTCTCGAGCTCCTGCCTAGAGACCCACTCGTTGGCTGGTCCACTGGCCGTTGCTGCAGTCATGGCCTGTACGGTCCACGAAGCATGGATCCTCGGCCTCTTGTTCGGCAGCCCTGCGTCCTCCTTCGTCAGCTTCCTCTTGATGGAGATGGGGACGTCATCCATGAGGCGCTGCCTCCTGCGTTCAGGATCTTCTTGCTGCCATTCCTGCCGAGCTGCCTCCTCCCACGTTTCATCCTCCCAGTCACCATCGTCCTCCGGCACTGGAATCTCATGGAGTTCCGGGGTTCGCTCCACCGGCTCTTCAGCAGCCATCGGCTCATCCTCCTTGACTTCCACCTCTTCAGGAGGCATGGGAGCTTGTGTCGGAGTGTACTCCTCATCAACTTCCTCCTTTTCTTCCGGCTTGGCCTCTGGCTGAGGCTCCAGCTTCCGCTTCCTTGAGAGGCGTGGAGCATGAATGCCCCGTTGCCTCAACAGCCGACTGACGGCCTTGGATCCCCTCAGCATCCTTCGAGCCTGCTTTCTC